AAAAAAAAAATAAAATAGAATAAAATAAAAAAAAAAAAGGAAAAAACGAGACACCTTCGCTAAGAAAAGAAAATTTTGAACGGCGTCCAAGTATGTAATTTATCGAACCCTGACCTCATCGTGGTGCAAGTTTGCACTCCAATTTATTTCAAGTCTATGCACGCCTCTCTGTCTCTCTTTCTCTCTCTCTCTCTCTTTCCCTCTCCCTTTTTCTTCTAAGCTAAGTTTATATGCTAGAAGTTGATAACACTTTGTTACATCGTATACATGCGTAATGCCATCGAAGCTTGCAGAGGATCGGTTTTACGATCGTCATTAGCATCAGCTGGTTTCCCAGACGGGAAATTGATAAAAAAAAAAAAATCGAGATACGGGAAATTAGCTTATTTCACTGTGACTTCTGGGAATGCGTTTGAACGTAATTTTTATGTAAAAGACACTCGTGGAGTAAAAAGAAGGAAGCCTCGCCGGTCGAGGTATTAAACCCGATGTAGAACCTGGCGATTAGTAGCGGAACAACTTCTGCTTTCTCGATCAGCCGGATTCATCGAAAAGGATGCCGATTAATTCGACGTTTTATAGAAATCGTTTTCGAATACCTCTTTCTTTTTCTCTTTCTTTCTTCCTTTCTTTCTTTTCTTGGTTTCTCTCACTTTCTTGTGATCGATGATCGAAAGCGACGTTCTAAAATCCCGCGGTCTAAGATCCTGTTACGTATTCTTCTTTATATAGGAACATATTTGGTGATAAAATATTGTCCTTCCATCGTCGAGGAAGGAAGTAGACATATTATTTGTCGCAAATGTTGGAAGGTGTGTTTCTTTGCGTTAATAAAGAACATTTGACATTCTAATATACGCCATCGCTCAGAAGTGTCTATCTAAATATCTCAGATATTCAAGAATCTGTTTAAGCTTGTATCACGATTAATTCGAACAATAATATTTGAAGTCAGACAAATTTATTTCTGAACAAATAATAATTTATGCTTATTATTTGTTCGTTCCACAAGGCGATAAGTATCAATAAAAATCAGAAAATCAACGAAAGCTGACTGATCATGTTAAATATCGGTCCTAAGGAATCCTAATGCTTACGGTCAGTAGTAAATCTTTGTTGACATATTGTGAAATTTATAGGCTACACAGGGAAAGACGATTGAAAGTGTAGATAGGTTCTCTCCATAGTGCCATTTTACAAGAAGAAGAGAAATGATACAACGAGATTCGCGGTTAAAGCAGAGTTGAAGGTCGTTGGGAACTGGTTAGGGTGGGTATTCTGCTTTCGTGGTACACTTTGGTGGCCGAATCGTGTTCAAGTAAGTCAGGGTCATGCAAACCGTGTTTCTGTGCTACCGATATGTACAAAAGTGGGAATTCAGTTATAGGTATTTACCACACGTAGTACGACGATTAATTACGCATTCCAAAGCTGCCGATTTTTTGATCGATACATATAGATACACTCCTTGATACTTGAGACTTGCAACACCACGTGGGTGCCGTTCTACGCTTGGAATCGTGGAGTTACTACTTTGATAATTTACATTGATTTTACATGTCAACTAACATAACATGAATCTAGTAACATTTTAACGAAAATAAATTAATCTCTGCAATATTTCAGTTAAGAAGCTAGAATACAAAATTAAATTGTATTTCCAATTATTTCAAATCAAATCAAATAATAATAATATACGAAATTTCACGGAATAATCTTTTACAATTTTACCTTCTTTCTGAAGAAACTCTGACTTTTCTAATGTATCTGCCGTACGAAAATCGCGCGTCTCAGCGGAGGCAACAATTCTCACATGTTTTCTCTTTAGAACATGTTTCCTCGAAGGACGAAACGAAGAATTCTCGTATCGCGCGCTCGCTTGGTACGGCGGTATTCTTGTTATGCAACAGAAAGATTAGTTATGTCTTTTCGTCTTGCTTTTCCGCAGCTTTGTCTTTCGCTGTGGAATAAAAGAAAAAAAAAAAAGAAGAAAAAGGAAGAGGAAAAGAAAGAAAAAGAAATGAACGTTCCTGGTTAGAAAGGAACGTGAACCTCGCGTTTTACTCGCTTAATACGAGGAAATGCAACCTTTCGAAATGGCGGGAAATGTTTTTGCTACAGTTGACAGGTTTTTCGTTGTATATGTATTAATGCGCATGATAGCCTTCTGCAAACGTTGCTTCGATCTTGATCAACGCTCACAATGAAACCAAGGTTTATTTATTCTTCTATATGTTTCCGTGCGTGAATTATCGCGATTTCATTGCTTTAAAATACCGCGTTTGCATGCTATTACATCATTTTTTTTGTTGCAAACTTTGCGCACACTCATTGAAATATTTTCTCTTTACAAAGCTTTTAGATAGAAATTACGCTAAAACATATTAGTGTACAGTAATGTTAAAAACGGTGAATTTGAAAACTACTTTGCCTAAAGAAGATTATTCGACAAACGTTTTACTTCTTATTATAGATATCAGTTTAACTTACAACTTAATTACACTTCACATGATTATAAAACTTGTTTACGCTTTTACAGATAATCTATATCTACAAAAATTCATGCAACATGGATATGCAAATACGAATCTGCATAACTATTTCTAGTCTGTCATATTTACATGATGGTATTACCTAGAGTGATGTATAATGTAAGAATAGAGAATTTTCTCAATATTAAAATTATTAACATTTCCTACATCGTTCGATGATAAAACTTGCTTGTGCTTAGATGATCCGAGTAGATGATACGAAAAGAAATTTTAGCGTA